GGTCTCTGTCACTCTTACAGTTGACAGGATCTCTGTTCATCCGACCAATGAAGAACAAACACATTAGAATCATGGATGCATTGAATTAGAACAGCTTGAACTGGATGTTAGGTGTCAGTGGATGTTTTAATTTAACTTCATGTACCCATCCTTAGCTCTGCTTCTGTGAGCTAAAGTTCAAATCCAACAACTTTGTAAAGCTCATCTACTTTTACTTCAATTTTGTTCTTTTGCAAGAGTCAGACCTTCTAAATGTGTTTAAACACTTTATTATTGATAGACTCAGAAGCATTTGTGAAATCTCACTTTTACCCATTAGGATTATGAATCCAGCCATGTCTCACATCTGATAACCTGTATTGACTCAAAAGCTCAGATGAACATCGCTGTAATGCTGTCTTTTAATGTCTGTGACTTTTTGTTTCATCACAAAATCAAATCAAGTGAAACTCATTTTTTTGTTAAACACAGAACATATTTTTTGTCATACATGAATAAATAACTTCTGGCATGTTTATAATTAATTGATGTTGACACAGGCAATAAATAAATCCTCATTGCACGCTTTGTAATTACTCATCCCAATGAGATTGCATACAAGCCTGCCTCCTAAAGTTCTCAAGGTCACAGCATTATTCCAGTCCATTGATTTTTCGCCCAAAGCCGAGGTGTCACGCATAATTTGGATAATAATCTGCTTGAAAAGGCTTCTACTAACACATAATCATCTGTATTTGAATGACACTGAGTACTGTGGCATTTGCAAGCCCTAATGCCCAGAGCTCTCAACTTCCATCAGAAGCTGATACACATGCACACACCAGGGATGAATATGTAGGGTCCTGGTGCAGGGAAAGAGGATTAGCTGCATTTCGCTTGCTCTTCTGTACCGTGCTGATTTCCTTTCCTCTTAGTTGAATTCAACTCAGTTTATTTATATAGTTCCAATTCACAACACATATAATATCAAGGCACTTTACAGTTCACTAGATCATACAGTCAAGTTGATTCAAAGTTTTCTATCTAAGGAACACCAATTGATTGCATCGACTTATTGACTCGAAGGCAATCCCTCACACTAAGCATCCTTGTAGCGACAGTGGAGAGGAAAAACTCCCTTTTAACAGGAAAAAACCTCCAGCAGAACCAGGCTCAGTGTGAGCGGCCATCTGCAGAGGCCGACTGGGGTTAAAGGAGAAAGAAGCAGAAATACAAAAGGAAACTGCAAAAAGCCGGCTCCTTCTAGGTAACAAATAGCCGGGCAAGCTCCGAGCCAACTCCCATGTCAGCGGATGAAGAGAGCACATCAAGCCAGTCACAGTCAGAGAAATAGGACTACACTGAAAAACAGGCCGATCTCGAACATCTATGAACAAAGGTCTTGATGGCAGCACAGCTGATATTTTTCTCCAGGGTGGTGTCGCAGCCAAACAGAAACAGACAAGGCAAAGCTACTGTAAGAAAAAGCAGAGAGAGCATAACGTTAGTTGTTATGATATCCACTGAAGCTCGATGACAGCTACCGAGGGGGGGCTTCACAATCTACAGAGGTCTCCTCTGATCAGAGCTGGATGGTCTAGCAATGGAGGGCTTCTGTGGGGATGTGGACAGTGTTGTAACCAAGCTACTGGCTTGGCCTTTACTATGGACGTAGTATGATTAATTGCAATATATTTCTCCTTGTGCTTCTGCCTCTGGACTGCTGGTACTGTGCTTCATTCCTACCTTTGATCTACATCAGTATCTCTCATATATTTATCCTATTAGACTTAGACTTAGACAGATTTATTTTGTCATTTTTTATAAAAAAAAGTGTAAACAAAATGAAATTTAGCTTAAAACAGTGAGACAGCTGGTCAGAACGCTCTCTATAGTGCTTCTGTAGAAGGTGGTGAGGATAGGTGGGGGCAGGTGGGCTCTCCTCATCCTCCGCAAGAAGTGCATGCGCTTCTGGGCCCTTTTGATCAGTGAAGTGGTGTTTACATTCCAGGTGAGGGTGTCTATGTGCACCCCCAGGAATTTGGTGCTGTTGACCACCTCTACAGCTGAGTTGTTGATAAGCAGTGGAGCGTGGTTAGGCCGGTTCTTCCATAAGTCCAAGATGATCTCCTTCATCTTCTCAACATTCAGGATCAGGCTGTTATCTTTGCACCAGTCCACCAGCTGCTCCCCCTCCTCTCTGTAGTCCTGGTCGTTGTCATCACTGATAAGGCCCACCATTGTGGTGTTGTCTGCAAACTTCACGATGTGATTGGTGGTGAACCTGGGGTTGTCATATGTTGCTGCAGCCTTGAAGATGTTCCAGTCGGAGCATTCACAACAGTCTTGGAATGTCTCCATGGCGCCCTCAGACCACACACGGATCTCTTTAGCTGTCGGTTTAGCCCTGTTTAGCTGGGGCGTATATGCAGGGATAAGCATGACAGATAGGTGATCTGACTAACTGAGGTTGGGGCGGGGGGCTGATCTGAATGCATCTTTGATGTTAGAGTAAACCAGGTCTAAAATGTTTTCACCCCTAGTTGCAAAGTCCACATGTTGGTAGAAATGAGGGAGAGCAGTCTTCAAGTTAGCCTGGTTAAAATCCCCAGCAATGATGAAAATACCCTCTGTGTGCAGATTGGAGCTCAGAGATAGCCTGGTATAGAGTCTTCATGGTTTCTTTTGTATTAGCACTGGGGGGCACGTAAACAGCAGTGATGCTAACCACACTGAACTCCCTGGGCTGATAGAAAGGGCTGCAGTTAACAGTAAGAAACTCAATGTCTGGAGAGCAGGAGCTGGTGACCGATCTAGCGTTCTTGCACCAGCTGTTGTTGATGTAAACACAGAGCCCACCACCCCAAGTCTTACCGCTTTGTTGTTTGTACCTATCGGCGCGGTTTAGCGTGAGCCCCTCAAGGTTAATAGCATTGTCCGGTATTGCTGGATGCAGCCATGACTCTGTCAGAATGATGGCGCAGCAGTTACTAATCTCCTTCTTTGATGAGAGTTCCAGTCGGAGATTGGGACACTATTTGTGTGTTTTCTCAGAACTGAGGCTTCCTGGACATGGAGTTACTGTTTTACTACAACAGGATATTGGAAAGGCAGTCATTATTGTTTGCCTTCTTTAAACATTACTAACACAGGGAACAAAGGGGCTAGCAAGCCACACATGCATATGAGAGAGCAGTTGCTTAAAAGAACTAGGTTGCATTTATTCTTAAAGAAAGACAAATGAATACGGTTGACATTTTGACTAGGTTCAACAGCATAGATTAGCAACAACATTCCTTATGTGTATTTTTGCTAGAATTTTATTCCCTTAGCTCTGAGATGACTGATGCTCTATGAAAGGGTTCTTCAATTCCAGGTCCGATATCCTGCACCTTTTAGATATGGCTCCACTTCGAGTCAAATAATTAGGCCATTAACAGCACTTCTGTGGAATTGACTGCATACTGAGGAGGTAATTCAGCCAACTGATCTCTGGAAGCAGTTTATCTAAAAGGTGTGGGATGCTAGACCTTAAAGACTAGAATAGAAGACCCTTGCTCTTTGACATACAAAGATTCAGTAAAGAAATTTAGCTGCACTCTGTTTAGCCTTACTGTTACCTGTTTTGACTCTTGTCGTTTTAAAATGAAAAAAAAGTCTTGTGAAAGCAGGAATGACCCAACCCTAACTCCTCTCCCTACATTTAAAGGCTCAAAGCCTCCGAAACAAACTCCAGCAAGAGGAAGTATCGAATTTGGGTTTTCAACAGCATTGTTTTTTGCTATTAAAAATAGTTTTTATTCTTTTAAATTAAGAAAACAAAGATGTTTGAAGCCTAAAGTCATTTGATTTATTAAATAGAATAGAATAGAATAGAATAGAATAGAATTCAACTTTATTGTCATTGCACTGTCACAAGTACAAGCAACGAAATGCAGTTAGCATCTATCCAGAAGTGCTATACAGGATAAAATATGCATTTACAAGTGTACGGGTGTATGGGTATATCTCATTTGAATTATTTATTCTGGCCAACAATTTCATATAAAAACAAAAAAACAATAATATTTTTCTGAATTACCAAAAGACAAAAAATTATGTTGTCTTTCTATTAATCTGGAAACCCCCAAAAAGTTATTTTCCAGAAGCTGTTTTGATGTGTATTTTTTCCCCAAAAAATACAAACCACAAATTCCCTTTTCTAGCAGATTTTCTTTCAAAATTTCATGATACTTTATGAAGTTCTTTTCCTTAAATAAACTTTAGGAAATGTACTGCTTATTCTTGTATAATTGAAAGAAAACACATTTTTGCTGGCAGGTGATTGTGTCCTTCCTCGTCATCCCTTGCCTTGATATTTGCAGACAATGGAAGTGCATTAGCACCAATCAGAAACATTAGAGGAAAATTTGCTATGACATTATTTGATAAAAAGCTTCCAACACATTCTCAAAATAGATTTCATTTAGCTAATGATAATATCTCTACATGCAGGGTAATGCACATTTTAAACCGTTGGCTGCTCGCTTCTGTCTGATCTAGTGGGTTAAAAGCATTATTACATTTCTTTGCAGTAGTACCACAGGAGGATGTTTTTTGGATTATCCACTTACTGGAGTGAGCATGGTGGTTTATGATTAGGTCTGATTGTTTTGAGCAGACAGCATTTCATCTTCAAATACTGTCGGTCAGATATAATCTCTGTGCGATTACAAAAATAACACCATCCTCATTATACATCACTGGTGTTTGTATACACATTATTTATTATTTATTCTGGACCTTTTCTTCATCTTGACTGTGACACTCTCCTTGTTTTGTCATCATGCTAGGGCCGCCTTGTTAATATTGTATCACCCTAATGTTTGCAGCACTTTGGTGAAAACTTCCAAGCAAACATTCCATGGAATACAAAATCCATTAAGAGCTGTATTATCATCATCTGAGTCTTGCTGAGAAACCCATCCCATCTAGCAACCACACGCAGAACCCAGTAACTTTGTTCTTTTTTCTACCCACAGCTCTTACCGCCTGGATAAAATCAACAGTGACATGCATAACTACATCACCAATTTTGCTGCAGACTTAAGGTGAATACAAGCTTACTCAGCTGTTGCTGGCATGTGCTCAGCGATCAGATTCCACTGATATGCTAAATATTGACACTTTGGACATAAAAAAGAAGAACAAGCCCTATTAAATGAAGGGTCAAGGAACAATGTACCAATGAGGCTTTTTAACTCAAATAAAGCAGATTTTATCAACAATTTATTCACACAATAATGCTGTAGAAATAATGGCATTATATAGTACATATCATAGTTTATAAAACTATTTACACTGCTTAAAATTCTTTCCCATTTTACTGGGTTTCTAAGCATTATTTTCAACATTTTGACTCAGTAAAAACCGAATTGTGAGGCATGTAATTTTATTCGCCCCTTTTGTTCTAAAAACCTAAAATAAAATCCAGTACAAACTTCAGCCTAAACAGAGGCATTTGTGTATAATTTAACCCTACTTTAAACGTTACACTTCTTTGAATGGCTTGGATGTTTGTTTGTTTGTTTGTTTGTTTTTAGAACTGCATCATAAGATAAGGGAACACACCACTTCATTTAGAAATAAAATCATAAAGAAATTTAAAGGCTAGGTTTCAAACTAAAGTTTTGAAAAGGTCACAGCTCAGTTCATCACAAATCTAGCCTTTATGGGTAACTGGATCATTGGAAATGTGCCACAAGCCATGATTAAAGCAAATATGTGTATAAAGATGCTTTGATTAG